TATATGGTCAAAGTGCCTCCTTGGTGATCTCTTTCTGTGAGAGAGTTTAAAAGGTCAAAATTAAAGTTTTTAACAAATTCGGTGAAATCACACAAAGTGAGGTCTACCATTGACCTAATTACCATTACCTCGTAGATGTAAAAATGTTATTTTCGAAAGATCCTAGGCTAAAAAGTTTAACTTTACATTAATTTTGGCTACAAAACTCGATGAAATGCTATGATTACAGCCGCGCGCTGATTTGAAATGATTCTGGCAATATTTCTCAAGATCTATGGCAATATATTTTCATTGACAATTACCGTAACGTGATCTTAAACCAAGTCTTGCGCCCAATATGATCAAATAAGAAATCATTGTTGACTCAAATGGGGTATTATCAGCGCACTTTCATCACAATTAATTGAGTTAAGTAAAATTGTTGATCTCGAATATTTATCGACCAGAACTTTATATTAATTTTAATTAGTATCTCAATATCTAATATATTACTTAGTATCTAATGATCAATAACTGCTCAAGGACACAAGCTGTTGACACAACAAGAATATAATTTACAATCAATTTTGAAAGATCTTTAGATCACAATCTAATTAGGACCAACATCATGGTAACATGAGCACAAATAGATCTTAATTATGATATAATGTCATTTAGGACAATTATAAGAATTAAATTATCGGGTTCATCTTCAAGAATGCATTGATAGCTCCTTCAATATAATAGAACTTAATTAAGAGTACGTCCACATAATTAATGTTTGTATTTTGTAGTTACGAACTGATAATTTCTACGGACATACTCGAAGCTCAAAGCTCAAAGCTCAAGTTCAAACTTTAAAAGGAGCTCGAAGCTCAAGTTCAAAAATCAATTCGCAAATAAATTTCTTTTGAGTGAGTGATATCTCAAAAAAACTGAAACATCAAAAAGAGTTCGTATCTAAAAACTGGGGCTATTTTAGTCCTTGATTGTTGAAGTTTGAAGTTACATTTGAATGGTATAAAAATGAACGGAAAGAATAAAATATAAAATCACTTACTATATTTACTTTAATTTTAACCGGATAATGGGATATATAATGATAAAATAATAATTGTCGTGTAACCTAAACCAAACAAGTTTTACCTACAATGTTCAACTTGAACTTTGTGACTCTTTTGTGAATATGTACTAAGGTCCAACTTCCAAGTATTTTTAGCATGGAAATTATTTCTTCAAATTGCAACTTATTACTTACTATCTCCCGACCTCATTCAACATTAAATTACAATATTATACCTCAATCAAATAATATCGTATATCTTATAAGCCTCAATCAAATAGTATCATATCTTAATTATATGAGATAATATAATTTTATGATTCACTCTTATCCTCAAACCAAGTCTGCTCCATTAGTTGAGCAGAAGTATTTGGCATTATGCAGACCATGTTCTACTCTTCTATCCCTTATATATTTGTTAATTAGTTCAACAAACAGAATTATTCGAACAAAAAAAGTAGTGATACTTGTAAGACATTAAAAATGGCTAAATCAAACCAAAATAGCGTTAACAAAAGTAAAAGCATTAATGCCAATTCCACATCCATATTCCGCCGCAAAATGTCATTTCAGCGGAAGAAGTTACCGGTAGTCCAGGTCGAAGCCGGAGGGAAGAAGCACCGGCGGAAGTCCTCTCCGGTGAAGATTTTCCGACAAGAGGGAATGAAGAAAATAAAAGAATGTTATTGGTCGGCGGTAAATGACATATTGGAAGGAAACAGAGCAACTGATCATACCTCTTTTGCTATGATCATCGTACCTACTTTCCCAAATCATCGTACTATTTGAAAGCTATAACCTAAAATTATTTTTATTCGTTTTATTTCTGATTTAACAATTTAGACTCTGCAAATTCATATGTGGGATTACAATGTTGCTTATTTAATTTGTTATTTTTTTATTTTTGTTTAAATTAATTAAGATGTTTTTCTTTTATTTGCTTAAAAATCAATTAATTAATTTTATTTGTCTTAATTTATTTACTTATTTTTTGTAGTGACAGTTGATGAATTATTTGCAATCTTGCATGCACATTACGTACTTGAACTATTTTAGTCTTTTATTTATTGGGAAAATTAATGTGTTCCGCCCAAGCACTGTGAGATAGTTTTGAAAAGTTAAAACTAAAGTTTAACGCAATGTAAAGAATTTTTGGCTACAAAAAACTCGAAATGATTCGGGCAATTATTCAACATTTATGGCTATATATATACAATTCTAATGATTATCATAACTTGTTAAGATAAATCTTATCCACTATAAAATAAGAAATTTTAATAATTTATTAGGATTATCATCTCGACTATATATAACATAAATGATATTTTTCCAGACAATCGCCATAAATTGACGTTGAACCAAGTCTTGCAATATGATTAAATGAGAAATTATGTTTGAAGTGTACTTTCACATAATGTTTGTACGTTACAAACGGTTAATTATTTCTCCGAACAAAGTTGGAGAACATGAAAATCATACGGATTTACCATGAAAGGAACTCCAAGCTTGAGCAAAATTCAATTATTTCATTTTATTGAACCATGAGTATATGAATGTTTCTTATAGATGGAGAAAAATTCAAATTTGAAAACTAATACTTTTCCCGTTCTCTTTAATTTGTTCATTATTTTAAAAATACATTTTTCATTTTGGAAAAATCTTTTTGGTCAGAAAATTTGGCCAAAATGATATTTTTTCTATGCTATTTTAATTTTTTAAACACTTTTACCCTTTTAACTTAAATACATTTTAACTAAAAAATGGAAAAAAGATCAGTTTGTTTTAAAATAAAAAAATATTATAGTTTTTTTAATTTTCTGGCCAAAAATTTTGGCCATTTAGCACTCCCCTTTCATTTTTACTTGTCATTTTTAACAACATTTTCAGCGTGAAATCACACAAGTAAGGTCCAAAGACGTCGTCATTTTTAACAACATTTTCAGCGTGAAATCACACAAGTAAGGTCCAAAGACGGAAGAGTGTACGCAAATCTTACGCTTTCGTAGAGATAGAGAGATTATTTTCAAATACTTATTTGATCCCTTAGTTACTTGAACCCACAACCTTACTATCGTGAATTGTGATCAACTTGAAATTTGCGACTCTTTTCGATCTGGAAATGTACTGAGGTCCAACTTCCAAGTATTTTTAGCATGAAAATTATTTCTTTAATGAAACTCACTCCCTCTATTCCATTTTGCTAGATATGTTTTGTTTTGCACGTTCTTAATTTGATTAAATTATTTTAGATGAAATTTTAAGAACATGTTTTTCGAAGTTAGCACTTTAAAATTAATAATTAAATGCTTCAATTGCTAGACCAAGCACTTTCATCCCATTAATTAATTAGATTCTCTTGGTATTGGTCATTTTCAAGTTGGGGAGTGTTTTGTTATGGATGGTAACATTATTCATAAAATATTTTTGAAGTTTTTGTGTCAGGTCAGTAAAAAAGTGTTGTAATTTAACATTAAAAAAAAATGACATCTCTTTATAAAATTAGAAAAAATCAAGTTTCATAACCGTCCTGTTACTCTCATTTTCCGTCTCCAACGCATCCTTCCTCCACCCCATCCACACCAACCTCGCACTTTACTGCATTCCCTCACTCACATAAACAAATATTTTGGTATAATATTTTTTTGTATATTTACACAAAAAAAAAGAAAAAAAAAAAGAATAATGACAGAATAATTTCTTCTCTAAAAAGAAAAAAAGAAAAAGAAAATATTCAAGGAAATATCTTTTTTGGAAAACATTCTATTTATACCAAATACTCCCTTAAATTTGATATATTTTCTTTAAAGACGTTTATGTTCAACTTGCAACAATTTAATAAAACGACGTGCTAATATTTTAATTTGATTCGACATCTATTCTACCCACTTTAGATACTATTATCTATTTTACCACGTCGTCTAATATAGTTCTTATATTTATTCAAAACAGTTTATCCACTATTAATATTAAAGTTTATTCGAGCTAGCATAAAACATATCTTTTGAAGTTAATAATTTTTCAGAGGTGGGATATAATCTGCATCTTCCTTTTCAAGCACTTAAAGTAATGTAAAAATCATCGAAGATAATAATTTTGGGCTTCTTTTAAAAAAGTATAATATTAAAATATTTTTTGTGATATCAAAGCAGTTTGTAGATAAAGAAAATTGTTGCAATGAAGTTAAATCTCTTTAAAGGGAATGAGATATCCACTGTTTATCCTGAAAATATTTATTTTCTTCATTTAGTTTTTCAGTTGTAATTTTATTTTCAATTTTTCATCAACAAATAAAAATTATAGGTTAGTGAATGGGCTAGACTTTAGAACCTATGGAGCTTAACGGCCTAAAATGAGGCCAACAAGAGGGCTACCATTTCCATCCATTAATTATCCTTAATTAGTAATAACTAATGTGCGTAAAATAGAGGAATTTTTGTAGCTCGAATTATATTGTTGATTATATAAATTTTTACCTTATTGATGAGAGTTCAATTTTTCACCTTGTAATCTCCTTTTCAATATTCCCTATCCCCAATTTCGAAAAGAAAAATAAAATTATGTGTTTAAAATAAAAATTAAGTTGATTGATGATATAAAATGATGGGGTTTACATGATAATAATGTAGGGTTATGCAAAAATTAAGTTATTTAATTTGTACATTACATATTTTTGTGTATAATTTAATGTTAATATTGTTCCGTATCTCCAACAAAATATTATATTATCTAATTCTGAGATTAATTATTTATATTTATCTATATACCCCAATCAAATAATATATATTGCATCTTATAGTATGAGATTTTATGATTCGATCTGTCTATCCTCCAACCAAACACCCCTTAGTTGAGCAGAAGTAATTTGCATTATACAGCACTTACTTGGTCAACTCTTCTATCTCCTTATATATTAGTTCTCAATTCTCTCAGAATTATTCGATCAAAAACAAAACAAATAATGGCTTATTCTGACCAAAATAGCCTCAACAAAAGTATAAGCCATGCCAATTCCACATCCATATTCAGTCAGGCCCTCCGTAAATTATCATTCCGACGAAAGAAGTTACCGGTAATTCAGCTCGGAGCTGGAGGGAAGAAGCACCGGCGAAGATTCCTTCTGTTGAGGATTTTCCGACGAGTCCGAATATTAAAGGGGCTGAAATTGCACTACTCAAATATGGCGAAAAAAATAAAAGAATTTTATTGGTCAGCGGTAAATGACATATTGGAAGGGAACGAAGCAGTTGATACATTTCATCGAAGCCTTGTATTGCAGAGCTCTTTTGCTATTCCAATGTTGGGCCTTACCCCGACTACTTTTTCAAATCGTAGTGTTATTTGATAAAAGTAAAGTATCTTTCAAAAATAATCTATCTACTTCCGTAAGGTAGGGATAAGATCCACATACATTCTATTTTCTAAATCGCACCTTTGGGGACTATATTGGCAATATATGTTGTTGAAATTAAGATCTTTTACTTTGCTTACCAAATTATAAATACATTAATTTGTTTATTATTTCTTTTAGTGCCAATTGATGAATTATTTGCAATGTTCATGAGATCATATCCAAACATATACTTGAACTATTTTTGCTTTTATTTATTGGGTTTGTTATGAGCGCAATGTGTTAAAATTGATGATCTAGAATAGTTATCCCTAGAACAAGAAGACAAATAATAGTCGATAAGAATATTACATAAGATTTTAATCAGTATTTTAATATCCAATATATTAATATCTAACCAATAAGATTAACACCAAATGGAATATGCAATAACTAACTATAAAACGTGACAAGTATGAAACTGCTCAAGGACACACGTCATTTTCACTTTTACCTGATCTATTTTATTTATTTTTTGCTTCTCGAAATAAATATTTTTTCATGGAATATGCGTTTATATTTTTGTATCATACCATATTTTTAAAGATAAAATTATGTGAACATAAAGATTCATTCATTCTATTATTTGAAGGAAAATCATGCAATTAAATCATTGTAGACATGACCACAAGAATTAACAATTAAGTTCTAACTGCATTATTTTTTTCTTCTTGTTTGGTTCGTGACTTGCAATGAACCCACAAAACCAACAACATAGTAACAACTTATGGACAAAAAGCCTCAATATCTCTCGCAACTTATGGACCTTTTTACACGCTTATATATGGATTATTATTGAACAAACTGAAAATCTTATGACAAATCGCAACATTCCAATCTAAAATGTTATAGTAATTGCAAATGTTAGACGACAATCTAATGATTAATTTGTATGAGTGAGGTTTATAAGAACAAACATTAGATAAATTTAACATTTACAGAAAGGTAATTTGGTAATAAAGACAATATTTGCACGTAAAAATAAAAATAAAATAGCACCTATGAAGGAACATTTGGCGTAAATCAGCCCAAAGAAAGTTTGGGATATTAGTTGCTGATGGTCCCATTCGACAAGGTGTGCACTGGATTTTTAGGTTTGGGCTTGAAGCCCACTGTTAAATTTTGAAAAGACAACTTACAAAAATGGGTCTAGACTATAATAATAATATGAATTTTCCAACTGATTTCTTTTTGAAAACTAATTAGTGCATGAAAATTCGTTGAAACATAATCACTTATCATATACAATTAATCATCCCATAATAGTTTTATGAATTTCGAAGTTACACAAATAAAAAAGGTCAACAGTACACAAAATCTGTGATTGTTTTTCAATTTTACAAGTCCAAAAATGGCCATCTGAGAATTTTTCTCTTATGCATTTCTATTGCCACGGTCACGTTAATACAAAAGCAGTTAATTTAAACAATTTTCCTTCGATAGTTGTCCCTCTAGCTACTCCTCTACTAAATCCTTGATGGTTTGGTATGCGAGATAATGATCATAATTTCGTGACAAAATATGAGATTATTTTATTTTATATTTAATTATTGACCATTAATTAATCCTGCAATATTTAATCTCACCATTTGTAGTTATCTATACCATATATAGAAGTGAAATAGCTAAATCCATGAGATATATAATTCAATTCATAAGATATTCTCATCTATCTCATCTCTCATACCATATAACAAATAGTCACTGATTAGCAAAATATAGTAAAAAAATGGATTTTTCCTGTAAAACCATTTGTGGTATTTAAAATATCAAACTTTCTCAACAACTACTTTAACATTAACGAAATTAGGCCTCTTTATATTCCTTTAATAATATCTAGTGGCATAAAACTACAGAAAAAAAAACGTGGTAGCACTATCTTTTTGGTGGCTATCTATAGATAATGTGTCCTCTAGCTAGTCCTAGACTCTGTTTTTTAAGAAATAAAAACTAATTATAACTCCCACAAGACACAACTGCTTTTTTTATTTCTATATTTCTCGATTTACTGGCAAATTCTTTATTTGGTAGTAGCTTTTATGTTCTGAACTACTGAGTCTATAGGTAAACTAATATTTGAATAGCTCAAAAGCAAGAACTCAACAACATATATGCATTTTAAAAAATATACTATTCATTGTTTGTTTGTTTTTTCATTTTAATTACTTGAATTTAATGCATTTGAGCCGAGAGTCTTTCGGAAGCAACATGTTCTGTTAGAGAAAAACTTACAAGATAACTAAAAATACAAGATACAATTGAAATAAAATGAAGAAACAAAAATCTCTTCAGGCTGAGGCGCGGATATCTCGCTCTCTTTAAGGAGATTCAAGCTCACTGCAGCAAATGTTTTCACCGATCCAGCAGTAGTCCTTCTTGACTTGTCCCCTCTAGGATACAACAGCCTATTCACAATATATAACTCAACAACCCTGGACAAGAGTTGAGTTCAAAGCTCCACAAAAAGAACACCTTCCTTCAACTAATAAGAACTCTCTTTTTTGACTAACTTTTTCCTCTCTATCTTTTTCTTATTGTATTGTGTCTCACAAACCAAATGAACACCACCACTATTTATACTACAAGAAGTCTTCCTAGAATTGAATAGGAAGATAATGGTGAAGTAAATAGTAAAGATAAATGGCCTAGAGGTTACATATGTTACATAGGTTACAAAGAATAATGAAGGAGTAAAGAATGAGATAATGGAAAAATAATATGGAGAAGTAATGGTCTTGGAAGACCACGTCCAAGGCAGTAAGCAAACGGCTAGTCAATAGCCTAGGCAATTAAGCCTAAAAGGCATTTACACCAAATGTGAGTAATTAGGCACAAATGCCTGCCAACGGTAGCAATGAAACTGCCCACTACCTGTTGAAACAATCAACAGCTTTCTAACTCCAAAATATAGCAAATTAACATATTAAAATATTAATATTAAAATGCTAATAAATCCAACATGTTCATTTCTACGAAATAGTAATAACATATATATACACTATACCCTCTCAAGACGATATATAGTGAGATTTTACTGGGTTTTTTTTTGTTATTATTGTCGTTGTTGTATACTATTTATATAAGGGACAAGGGTCAAATATGCCCCTAAACTATTCGAAAAGGTCTAGATATACCCCTCGTTTAAAGTTTGGCTCACTTGCGCCCTCGCCGTCCAACTTTTCATCTAGATATGCCCTTATGGGCATTAAACGCCAAATGGAATTGCCACATCATTTATACATTACCACGTGGCATTGAAAAAGGGTCAAATATACCCCTAAACTATTCGAAAAGGTCTAGCTATACCCCCCTTTTAAATAAACTACCCGACCCGTTTTCAACAATTTTTTTAATTTATTTTGGTAAATCTCGAAAATGAGTAATTGACTAATAAAAAAATAGGAAAAATATGAAGAAAAAAAATATAAAATTAACGTCAAAAATTCGCAAATAAATATAATAACCTTAAATTCAACAATTTCAACAATTTTTTTAAATTTTTATTTTTTTCGATAAATCACGAAAATGAGTAATTGATTAATAAAAAAATATGAAAATGACTTTATGCTGAATTTTTAGGTTATATTTTTCATATTTTTTATTAATCAATTACTCATTTTCGGGATTTATCGAAAAAAATAAAAAAATTGTGAATTTTTGGCGTTAATTTTATATATTTTTCCTATTTTTTATTAGTCAATTACTCATTTTTGGGATTTACCAAAAAAATAAAAATTTAAAATTTTTTGTTGAAAACGGGTCGGGTAGTTTATTTAAAAGGAGGTATATCTAGACCCTTTCGAATAGTTTAGGGGTATATTTGACCATTTTCCAATGTCACGTGGTAATGTAAAAATGATGTGGCAATTCCATTTGGCGTTTAACGCCCATAAGGGCATATCTAGACGAAAAGTTGTACGGCAAGAGCACGAGTGAGCCAAACTTTAAACGGGGAATATATCTAGACTTTTTCAAATAGTTTAGGGACATATTTGACCCTTTTCCGTTTATATAATATGGTTGTTCGCCCTCAGCCCCTAGTCTAGCTAATATCTAGACTCTAGTAGATATAAGCCTATGTGACTACAACATACAACTCTGTTTTAAGTTTTCATGACAAGAAGAAATAAACAAGAGAAAATTACTGAAAATTTGCACAAATCTGACACTTTGTGGGATATTGTTTAATTTTTTTTTATAAAAGCTTTTGATGCAGCAATACTGACACGTGTTATCAATCTAGTCCGACTTGTAAATTACTCCACGTGAAACATATACTTGTAATTAATAGTCCACAAATGATGCCAAACTTTTGAACTTCACGCAAATTTAAGAAATGTTGACAAATTAAACACTACCCTATTTATGAATTTGTTTGAAAATAAAAACCAAACCAGAGGCTTGCATTGCTGAGATTCTGTTGGCGATTAAATAAGGAACATGTCTCATGCGAGGCCACAAAATAATGTCAACATTTTGCTCATGAATTAATCTTAAAAATCATCTTACTTAGTGATCCAAGATTGTGATAGTCCTGTGCTAAAAGTTTTGCCATTTTAACTAAGCAAAAATGTATTGCTCAAATTTATGTATTATTAAACAAAACATTAAAACTTAAATGGTTACACACAAATAATTTGTCCGTGCAAGTATACTTAGATGAATGATTGATTAAAAAGATTTTCATATGGTGTAGTCATCTATCAAAATATATATATTTTTTTGTATATAATATTAATAAATAGAAAATAGTGTATTTTGCCGTCCTGCTGGATGTAACTTTCCCTTGATTAAGTGGGAATTGGCCTCGTCCAAATTTTGTAATGGGACTGTGCCGTTTTCTTATGGACCGTAGCACTGCAAGTCATAAGGAAGGACAGTGGGCCATTTTGAAGTTTTCCTTTTTTATTTTTTTGTTTTTCACTTATTCATGTTGGAGCATGATTAAATTTAGA